GCATGGCCATCCGCTCTGCGATCGTCGCATCGTCGTCGTCATGACCAACGCAGTGCGGTCTGAGATGGCGCAGCAAATGTTGACACATTGGTGGCGCAGCAAATCCTCCTCTTCCTCCTTTGCTTGGTCTCTCTTCCCTCGTTTCTTCTTATTTTCCTGCTCCTCCTTCTCCTCCTGTTTCTGGTCCTGCGCCCCTAATGACAGGGGCCGAGACGAAGGTAACATGTTTGTCTTGTGGGTTTCCGAGCCTGCATGTATCAATGCGTCACTGCACCGAGCTACGGGTAACGTTTGTGTCTTGTGAGTGTTCGCGGAGGAGGGAGAGGGGGATGAGAAGCAGGGCCGCGCCGAGCTACAGGTACATTTTTTGTCTTGTGAGTGTCCGAGGAGGAGGAAGAGGTAGATGAGAAGCAGGGCCGCACCGAGCTGCAGGTGACGTTTTTGTCTTCTGAGTGTCCGAGGAGGAAGAGGAAGAGGAGGGGATGAGAAACAGGGAGGGGGGAAGCGACGCCAAAACGGAAAGGATCATCATCTGCACTCTGGCCAATCTTATGGCCATGATGATCCTCTGGGGGCCAGGGATCTCTGGAGTTCTGGAGGGTTCCCCGACAAAATTAGTCCTCGCAACGATTGCCAGTTCCCCGGCAAAATTATTCCTCGCAGCGGTTGCCGGTAGGAGGAGGAGCGGGAGGAGCAGGAGGAGGAGGAGGAGGAGGAGGAGGAGGAGGAGGAGGAGGAGGAGGAGGTGGAGTGATAACCACGTTCGAAAAACCCTTGGCGGAGCCGTGGTGACGGGAAGATCCAGGGACTGGGGCCTCAGACGCTTCTCCTTCTCCCCGTGGCCGTTTTCAGCTCAAGCGCGCGCCCGCGTAGCGACGCGAGTCGCCTCTTCTGAGGTCAGGGGCCCTGCCTGGAGGCGCGCGGGAACATGGCGCCGATGAAGTCGCGGGTAGCGACGGCGAAGGGCAGGCCCTTGAAGGGTACCCTTGGCGCGGCGAGGAAGAGGGCGCCGACGAAGAAAATAGCGGTGAAGGTAAATGGCGAAGCGATGACCACTCGAGGCGCGCAGCACAAACTGAAAAGCGGTGCACTTTTATTGCGGCTGCGGGGCGAGAGGAAGAGCAAGGGCGACGCCACTCGCACTCCCATTGATCAGGAGGACGAGTCCCGAGCAGAGCGCGAGCCAATCGTCATCACCTTTGCGGCTTTGACCACGCTCCCGCCGAAGAAGCTCTTGGCGAAGCTTCGTGGACACTTGGCGAACTTTCCGAAGCATAAGGGGTATCTTCTCTGCGGCGGCCCCGTCGTCAACCACTCGGTCAAGAAGGGCGTTGCTGTCCTGGGGAGCGCCGCTGCTGGCTACCGCTGCAACGCCAAAGCGTGCAACGCTACATGAAATCCACTGAGTGGCAGCCCAGTCTTCACCGCCGGCAAAGGGGCCGACGCGCCCTCTCTGCGCATGCAGACGTGGATACTGCACAACGCTGCATGGGGCGTTCTGCCGCAAGTCGCCAGGGCCCAAACGGGCGTGACGCTGAACCGCGTCAATGCCACCTCCGCCAAGTGGCGCCGATTGCTCGCCGAGTGGGTCGTGCGCAAGCAAGAGACCATGGAGGTGGGCGGCGACTACCAGGAGATCGAGGCGGACGAGGCCGTGCTGCGGAAGGACACTTTGCAGGAAAAGGTAAAGGGGAAGGTTGTATGGCGCGAGGCCATCGGCGTGAAGACGCGCGGGCAACGGCACTCGCTCATCTTGGTCGAGAGGGAGGCTGAGAGCAAGCGGATGAAGGTGGCGAAAAAGATCACCAAGAAGCCAGCCGCGAAGGGCATCACCAATAAGGGCATTACCAAGAGATCGGCCGCGGAGGGCAAGCTCGGCCGAGCTTGCCCGCCGCCGTTGCAGTCGGAGGAGTGGGCGACCGTGGCTATGAAGCACGTGCGGGACAAATCTATTCTGCACACCGATGGGGCGCAGGCGTACAACAACACACAAACAAAAACATCGAGCACACCTACGTGAATCATTCGACGCGCAATGGTGGCCCGCAGGTCACCAAGAAGACCACTGTGACGGTGAATGGGAAGTCGCAGAAGGTCACTGGGGGCACGCGGTCCCTTGATGGGGGCGCGTAGACTTACCTCAAGAAGGCGCTGCGGGGGCAGGAGGGGAGCAACGCCGAGGCTTTGGGGAAACGCCTGCGGCAAGTGCAATGGCACATGTGGACGGCGCGCCAGGACCGCTTTGAGGCCATGGGGGTGGTCTTGCGCGGGTGTAGTGAGTTGGGCCTTGTATGGGGGCAAGGACGAGTAGACGATTCCAATGTGCGCCTTCGTGGTAGTTCAGGACGCCTTCGCTGTTGATGCATGCTCGTACGCGCCATAGGCGGCGCCAACATGTATTTCGATAGTAAAGCTATCGTGCCATCCGTTGACTCGGCGCCCGCGTCAACACGCATTTCGATAATAGATCTGTAATGCCTCCCGTTCACGAGGCGTCCGATGATGCTGCAAAAGGACAAACGATCGATTCACGGCGTCCTGGAATCAAGCCGAGTCAATGATCCTTTTGGTAGTGCCTAGGGGGGGGGGGGGGGTGCGGCCCACTAGTAGTATTCGTGGTAGTAGTTGTATTTGCTGTTGTGGTTGTTATTGCTATTGTTGTTGTTGTCGTTGAACTCCTATTTCCGAGTAATAATTATTGTTGATCCCCCCTCGCTGGTGCATACTGTTTTTCTCAATCAAAGTGTGCCCCTCGACGCTCGCACCCGGTTTTTTTTTGTCAAAGAAAATCTTGGTGCTCAAACTGGGCCCCTGGCCCCCCGGATTGCAACAACAACGGCTCCCGCTTGAGATTTCCTGAGAATTTACTCAGGGCCCCCGCTCTTGAGACTTCCTCACAATTTACTCAGGATCGGTGCTCCCGCCTTTGACTTCTTCGCAATTTAATCAGGGCCCCCGCTCCCATCTGAGACTTCGTCGCAATTTACTTAGGAACGGAGCTCCCGTTTCAGACTTTCTCGCAATTGAATTCAGACTTCCTCGAAATTTACCCAAGACCCGCGCTCCCGCCAGAGAGCCCTTCACATTTTATTCAAGAATTGCGCTCTCGCCTGTGGCTTCCATGCAATTTATTCAGAAATCGCGCTTTCGACGCTCAGGAAACACGCTGCCCCCAAAACGCCGTTACAAATTTACTTAGTAATCGCGCTCTCGCCATGCTCAGGCATCCCGCATGCATGTCCCACCCGCCCGACCCGCCCGTCAGGGGATCGCCCGCCCGTCGTGGGCTCCCGCCCGAGATTTCCTTCAGGAGCGGCGCTTTGGCCTAGGACTTCCTCGAAGGTTCACGCTCTTACCTTCCTGCTCCTCTTCCCACTCCCTCCTCCCTCCTCCCTCCTGTCCTCCCTTCTCTCTCCCTCCTCTCTTCGCTCATCCTTATGCCTCTCTGCCCTTTCCCTTCTCCCTCCTCTCCCTTCTCCCTTCCCCGTCCCCTCTCCTGCCTCCTTTTTTTTTTTTTTTTTTTTTTTTTTTTTTTTTTTTTTTTTTTTTTGTTTTTGTTTTTTTTTGTTTTTGTTTTTTTTTTCTTCCTCTCTCTCTCTCTTTCTCTCTCTCTCTCTTTCTCCCCTCTCTCTCTCTCTCTCTTTCTCTACCTATGTTATATGTCTTCCTCTCTCTCTGCCTCTAATCAACCGCCCCTCTCTTCGCTCCTTCTCTCCTGGCGTTTTCCCTCTTCCTTCGTCCCTTCCCCCTCCCTTCCTCCCACTCCCCCTCGTTCTCCCCCTCCTCTTTTTGCAGGGTCCACAGCAATTCCAATGGCGGGCATATGTGCGCCCACGAAGGATCGTCCGCCCGTTCAGGTTTGCCCGCCTGTCTAAGCCCGCCGCCCCCCGCAAAGAGAAATAATCCCCCCGAGGGGGGTGTGATCGAAGACAAAAAGGGAGGGTATCGAGGGCGCGTGGGAAACTCGTTTTGAATGACACGCGGGCAAGTAATAGCGAACAATCTTATACTGATTGTTGTTGTTGTTGCTGCTGCTGTTGTTGTTGTTTTGTTGTTGTTGTTGTTATTGCTGCTGTTGCTATTTGTTGTTTTTGTTTTTGTTGTTGCTGTTGTTGTTGTTGCTGTTGTTGTTGCTGCTGCTGCTGCTGCTGCTGTTGTTGTTGTTGTTGTTGTTGTTGTTGTTGTTGTTGTTGTTGTTGTTGTTGTTGTTGTTGTTGTTGTTGTTGTTGTTGTTGTTGTTGTTGTTGTTGTTGTTGTTTTTGGCTTGCTTGTTCTCTTTCTTTATTTCTTTCTCTCTCCGTGTCTCTCTCCATCCTTCTCTGTCCTTCCGCCGCGCAGCGCGCGCAATGCGCCGCGCTGCCGCCGCCTCGCACCCCGCGGGACCACGGCTGAGGCGTCGCACTATGTCCAGGGCCCGCTCGGCGGCAGGGAAGGCCGCACCTCCGGTCTCACCGCCACCGCGCTGAGCCGCGGCA